CCTTCTCCCACCTCTCCTTCCCCCTGCTTCTATGAGCGTGCTCCCCCCACACTCCCACCTCACTGCCCTAGCACTGTCGGATGCTGGGGCATTGAGATCTCTTACTCAACAGGACCGTTTATCTTAGCATCTGTCTCAACATCAGCCTCAGCATCAGTCTCAGCATCCCCCCTGGACTCCCAACCCTGTGTCCTTTAATTCTCTGTACACTCACATCTCCAGCACGGTGCAGAGCGGAGTTGTCCCTGCAGAGACTGATGTCCCAACCTGAGCTGAAGGGGAGGTGTTCCTTGCCACACAGTTGCTCATCCCAGGCTAGCCTCTCAGGCTGAGTCATTCCCATGCCTTCACCTCCACATGGGGCAGGAGTGCTGTCTTGTCCGTGGAGCACCTCACTGTTCTTTAGTACTGCTTCGTGCACTCTCCTGGATGCTCTTATGCCCCGTGTCTTTGATCTCTGAGCTGACCCCATCCTTCTACACTTATCCCCCACAATATCCCAAAGAGTGGCTTTTGAGATCACTGGTCCACCGGAAACCCTCTGTTGGCTTCCTAGTGACTTGAAATAACCCTGATGTTCACATGCCCAAGTGGTTTGGCCCTACCCTCTACAGTTGTTCCCCTCACCAGCACCCCCTAGAGTAGAGATGCCCCTGTCGAGCCAGGGGTTCCAATTTGAGTGGAGGGAAGGGAAACAACACCCTCTATTGGGGGACTGTAGAAGAGCTTCTTTGTTACCCTGAGCATTCTCTCATTCAAATACTACCCAGGCCCAACCCTGCTTAGCTTCCAATATCAGAGAAGATTGGCATGTTCAGGGTGGTAGGTCCATAAGGTGTAAGGCCTAGACCCTCTTGTTAAATACAGTTAGCAGCTCTGCATTGGCCCAGGCACTGCAGAGAAGATTCTGTGTCCACTTTGCTTGGATGCAATCACCTGTGAGTAAGGCACTGATGAGCGTGGCTGTGTATCACATAGCAGGCTGCCTCCTGGCTTCTTCCTCTTGTTTCCAGCTGTCTTCTGACTCATCCAAGCCCTTACCACCCCCACTACACTGAGCATCTTTGCCCGTGGTTCTGTGACTGACATCCCTTCTGTGGGAGAATATATGCACTTACTAACCATCCCACCTGGTGCTTCTTGCTCATCCCTGCTCCCTACAGATGGAATTGGCAGAAACAAAGAGCTCAAGTTTGGGCTATGGGCTAATCAGATGGTGCTAACCTACAATGGGTGGTTTCTCTCTCGATTCTCATAGCTAACCTGTGATTCCCACTGCTGACCTAGAAAGGCTGCTTGTGAGTCTGCAATTCTCTCTTCCCCAAAGGAAGTTCATCAAGCACCCAGCAATCAGGAGCTGCAGGCAACACATCTGCTATACTGGATACACATTAACTAAAGGACTGAACCTGAGGCACCTTTCCCTCCTGTCTAGGGAACCACAGACAATCTGGCTGCAGGGTTACTCTTCAACCCCATGGCATGAGATCTCCCTATGCTTCCTGAAACCCGTAAGAGGGGACACTCACTTTGTCCCCTGAGACTGGACTTTCTTCAGAGCCTCCACCATGCTGTGTCTATGGCATTAATAACTCTTCTAATCCATCTCTTAGCCCAAAGGACAAGCTGTCTCAGTTTCCAATCTGAGACCCTACAAAAGGCATCTCAAAAGTCAAGGCACATGCTCAAGTTAGAGCTGTCCAAAGTTCATAGAGTTCACGCAAGGCCCTGCACGTGGTCAGATCACGGGCCAGCAGGGAGAGCTCGGCATCGATGTGAGGCCTGAGAATCTTCAGAGCTTGAGATGTTCAAGCATGCTGAAGCACAGAGGATTCACTTGGGTTTTGGTGTGTGGCCTGCCCGGTTATGTCATGGTGTACTGGGTGAGTAGCTGTAAAGCCGGCTGGACACTGTGTCTCCACAGTGAGACACAGTTTGGAATAAGAAATGGAGTGATTTCAGGAACCCAAGCCTCTCTGGGACTGAGCGCTGTGAGAGTTCTGGGAGTTAGCATGGGCACTGAGAGGGAAGGATAACACCACATGGATGGTCGGGTTGTGGTGTCCCTTAGGACTGAGTGGTTGGGTGGCGGCAGAAGCTGATTGCATAGCTCTAGTACAGTAAGAACCATGGGCAGATCCAAATCTCAAGGGAGATCTTTAGGGCCCTGGCCATTCATCTCCTAATTCCTGGGCTTGAGCCAGGAAGATGTATGGTTGTTTATTTACTTATTTGTTTCATTTGTTTATATTTGTGTATATGCAAGTGTGTGGGGAGAGAGTATACATATACGGGTGTCCATGGGCACACATGTAGGTGTCATGGCTGTCCTAAGAGGCTAAGGTGTCTCAGGGGACCAGCTGCTGTATGTACAGAAGCCCTACACAACACTTCCTCAGTGAGCGAGGGACTGATGGAGCCTTAGAGAAGAAAGATGAGAGCCCCCTAGCGGGCCACGTGGACATCTCAGCTGATGTGCAGACTGGTAATGAAGGACAGGAAGAGTTCAAGGGACATTGTCATACTATAGTGTTAGTTATTTGAGAAACATTAGAAAAACTCTGGTCATGTGTCCAAGGCTCTTGTTCCCAAGAGGCCAGGACTGCCACTCCCTTTTCCTGTGTTTTTCTTCATGTTTCCCCACATGGATCCTGACCAGCCTTTGGTCTTCCTTCTTTCTCCACACCTTGTCTGTTTCATGCTCACCTCCAGCTGGTCCCTCTGTCTGGAACTCCCGTATCTCTTCCAAATTTACCATCTACTGAAGTGTCACATCTTCTTCAAGGCCAGTTCTGTGTTGCTTTTTAGTAAAACCTTCAGGTCCTCTCTCTGAGATGCTATTTTCAACATCCCAGGATCATGTGATCCTTGAACTGAGTTCAAAAGCTTCTAGGAAGTTCTAAGACAACACTGACATGTAATATGCAATAGAGTTCCCACGCACTGGCTCCTTTACCACTCATTCACAGTGGCTGCTATGTGTCTGTTTGCTGAGTGAATGTTCAGAAGCACTGGACCTTGGTCTCATACATGACCTTTAGATAGGACTCCTCTGTGACCTCCAACAGACTGGGCAAACAGGGATAGACACAATGTCCCAAGAAAGACTAGACATTATGCAAGAGAAAGGGATGAGGGGGTGGGATGACCCCACGGGAGGGCCTGATTGTGGACAATCACTCATTCAGTACAGTTGCAGACAAGATGTCTGAATCTGCTCATAGCCACCTGCACTGCTTCGAGCCAGGACATATACCAGACTCCAGAGTCTGAGCCTTCACTGTCACTGACTATTTCTTAGTGTGAAGCACGGACAGTGAGAGACCAATTTGCAAATGCATTTATTCCTCACTACCCAAGTGAAAAGTGCCCAGCAGAGACTGTCATGTAAAAGTTCTTCGTACTGTAGAAGGCAGTCAAATCTTAAGGCTTCTTAAGGAGCTGGACCAATGGCTCACTCAGTGACTAAAGAGCACTTTCTGTTCTTCCAGAGGGCCAAGAAGCCAAGACAGTGGCTCACACCTTCCTGAAACCTCAACTCCCAGAGATGTGATGCCCTTTACTGGCTTCTTCAGGCACTTACACACACACACACACACACACACACACACACACACACACACACCAAATCTTTCTTTTTTTAATTAAGGTTTTGGCCTTCTGTGATAGCTAACCTATTTGATAATATGGTTGTCAAATTAACCACAATTGGAAACATCTGAGCCCCAAGTTGCCAGCTATTCCTGTTATAACTTTAATTGGTGAGACTGCCTGAAGCAAGAAGACCCACCCTAAATCCAAGCCACTGGTGGCAGCCCAGATAAAAGGACACGGAAGAAGGGAACTCTGCCTTCCCTTGTTCTCACTGGTAAGTGTATCTCCGCTGTACCTACAGCCTTCCTTCACCCATATCAGGACTTCTTCTGGATTCCAATGTAGACTAAGAAGCTGTTCTCTGATCTCCTGAGTCCTCCAGGCCTGCAATACCAGATTGGGACTGCAGAGACATACAGCCTTGTAGACTGAACAACTACTAGATCCTCAGCCTCTCCATTGTGAGACAGCCATTGTTGGACTTCCCCCTCTCTCTCACCCTGATGATCACACACCTCGTTATTTCCAGTGGATACCCCTTTTCAGTATCATCCAGGGATCAGAGCACTGAGCATGGCTTCATGAGATTGATGTGCAGAGTCAGGTGGGCAGATGCTCTGCTCTGGGGGCAACTGACCAAGGTACAGTGAAAGAGTTACTCAGCCATTTACTCACCTGCCCTTTAATGTGCTGTATTCCGTCTTTGACAGAGGACAGGAGGGAACTCATTCAAGTCAATTCAGGGTGCTGAGACTCAGACTCACCTGTACTCTGCCTTCATTCTGCCTCCTCAGCAGAACCCAAAGCTGAGGGCAGCTGTGGGCTCATACCCCCCACCATCCGTTATGCTGTAGATGTAAAATGTTCCCTACATGCGTCTGAACGCTTGGTCCTAGCTGACGGTGCTGTTCTGGGAATTGTGGGAAGCTTTGGGAGATGGGATTTAGATGAAAGAAGTGGACATCTGAAGGATGCACCTTGGGTTTATAGCCGAGCCTTGCTTTCTGTCCCACCTCTGTTTCCTGATACACTCAGACGTGACCAAACAGCCTCACGCTTCCACTGCCACAGCTTTGAGCCTCCCCTGACATTACGTCTTCTTCACCATGATGAATAATACCCTCAGGCCATGAGCTGAAAGCAACTCTTAAGTAGCTTCCCATCAGGTTATTGATCACATTGATGAGAGAATAATCAATAGCCCATTAATCCTGGCTCTAACGTGTGCAAGCTATGGGACTGGATAAGCCATCTACACCACAGCAAGCCTCCCTTTCCCTGTCAGCCAAACAGAAATGATGGTGGCATGCCTCATGAGTTCTTTGATCAAAGAAATACCTACCAACTTTGGAACACTGAGTGTCCCTATCCCCAGGGCTATCTCCATTAAGGACAAGGAGACCCAGTCTTTGCAAAATGCTTTATTGCTATTGTCAAGGTGGAAATCAGCAGGCCAGTCTGCAATCTACATTCTACTGTTTACAACAGACCTCTATCATCCCACCGTAGCCAGCCAGGTTTGTGATTTGATACCTTTGTTCGTGGTGAGACACTTTTACTCTGATTGCTCAAGTATGCTACCAAACTGAGTTCTTACATCAACCATGGCTGGGATAGAGCAGCCAACCCCTGTGTAACAATCTCATAGGTCTTTGAATGGGTTTCTTGTTCTGATCATTCATTGGATATACAAGAAACACAGGCCCAGAGGGGAACATTTTCATTCCCATGTTACGTAGCTATTAGCGCCATTTCAGAACTTCAGTCCAGTGTCCTTTCTCAACCATGATGAACTGATAGTTGGTGCTGATAGGTTGGAGACCAGATTTATGACTGTGCTTCCTGGTGGCCTTTATCTATGCTGACCAGTCTCTTACAGGGCTTTGTAGTGCTAGACTGAGCAAGAGAGGGTCTGGGCATGACTATGTCACAAATATGGTAGTAGGACCTTGGAGAAATCAAGAGACCTCTTTAGGGTCAGTGTCAATGAGTGATGAGAGAAAGAGCACATCGTGCAACTGTGATCAAGGAAGCAGCCATCAGGATTTGATCTTATCTTAACACCTTATTAGTCAATCTAATGAAAATCACTAGCTACCAAGAGATGGATGGGCTGTAGAATATGCCTGGCTCCCTCTGTGTGAGCCTGTGAGTTTCAGAAGGAGTCCCACCTCAGGGTTGGATCACTTTGCCAATGAAAAAGACATTTGTATCATCCATAACGGCCATCAGAAAGGGTCTGGTAAATTCTAGCTTCAGAGATCTAGGTCGAGCAGATCTGAATGTGAAGATCGTGCCTGTGGCGGCGGCTGCTGTGGTTCCCGACTCGTCTACCTCCACCATGGATTTGTGCACCATCTGCAGGCAGACAGCAGGGCTGGGTTGTGGTGATGCATCATGATAAAAGTATTACTTATATTCTAAGAAGATGGAACTTTTGTTCAACCTCACAGCCAGAATTAAATCATACACCCAGAGGTCACGTCAGACTGCTATCCTACCTGCTGAGTGTACTCAGCCTGTTTGTGTAATCTGATTTTAAGACAAAAATGGAATAATTAATCTTACCCGCCTTGGGTTTCCCATGCAACCTTAAATTATGTACTCTTCCACATCCCTGATCTAGAACAATGCATGTGTATCATTTGCTGAAAACAGCAACTACAGACATTGAAAGTAATCCTCTAAAATGAAATCCACTCGTGGTTATCAGTTTATAGATAATGATATTTGTAGTATTGTTTGATGACTGGGTCAGTTGGAATCAGTGACTTAATCCCTTGTAAAACACTGTTAAAGATTTTTGTGAAGTATCCCATTCTGTCTCTGTGTGTTATTTGTGTGTGTGTGTGTGTGTGTGTGTGTGTGTGTGTGTTGTCAATAAATACAGAGAAAGCTTTTTGTCAGGGACACACACACATACACACACACACACACACACACACACAGAGAGAGAGAGAGAGAGAGAGAGAGAGAGAGAGAGAGAGAGAGAGAGAGAGAGAGATTCACAAGACAGCATTCAGACAGGCACAGATTCCTCCAAGGCTGGATAACAAATACAGGTTCCTTATTGTAAGAAGAACAAGACACAAAGGAACATCTTTGAGTATCTGGGGGAAAAGAATCCTAATGGGACAGAGTGGAAGGAGCTGGGGTGAAACAGAATGGAATGAGGTGAGCTGGGATGGACCAGAATCAACGGTGATGGGAGAAGCTAGAACAAGATGGATAATTAGAACAGTATATGACGGGGTGGGGTGGGGAAGGGAGGGGAGGGGAGGGCTGGGATTGTAAGGAATGAAGACTATGAGATGACTGGGGTAAAATATAATGGGGTACTCTCTGAAATGGTACAGGATAGGATGGGGTGGGATGGGAGGGAAGGGAGGGGGAGGGGAGGGAAGGGATGGGGGGGGGGGGGGGGGGGTTGGGTTGTAGAGGGAGTGGCATGGGAGGGGATGGGGGGGGGGGGGGGGGGCGGGGGGGAATAGGGTAGGGTAGGGTGGGGAGGAGTGGGTGAGGTGAGTTGGGATAGGGTGAGTTGGGGTGGGATGGGGTGGGATGGTAATTTCTGAAATCAGGTGCTCAGGAGCTTCTAGACTCACCTCAGACAGCTTGATATTGGTGTGGTCAGTAATGCCAGACAAGTCAGCATGAGTGGTGAAGATGTCCTGGATGCCCAGTTTGGGGAGGATTTTTTCCAGTTTATAGGTCCCCTCAATGGAGAACTTGGGAAGGTAAAGATCTAAGCGTCTGGAAAGATTAAGGGGAGGGGGCGTTCTTAGACACCATGAGTTTGCTGACATGTCCTTAGCACCCACTCTCTGCAGCCTGACAGATTGGAACCTCCATTTCTGGAGGTTCATCCCTTGCTTTGTACTTAGACCTGGGCTTCCCTCTCTGGTGTCACCCTAGAACCCCAGCTTTCTGGGTCTTATTCCTCGAGCTGGGTCAGGTCCTGGGCTGAGACTTCATGGGAAGCCTTTAGGTTTGGAGCTAGCTTGCTGCCTGAGGAGTCCTTCCCACCAGCGCTGTGAGGTCCTGGAGCATGTCTCCCTGACATGGGTGGAAGGGTGTGGCCCTGGAACGGCCTAGAGAGTACCTCTTTGTGAACATCTTAAGCCAGTTCCTCAACGTTCTCTCGTCCAGGCCATCCTCCACCTGCTTCATCTTGCCCTCGCTGGGGAGAATAAACAGAGCCATGGCACTGCCTTGGTAAGGGATCCCCACCACCGTGCAGGAAATATTTTGGTCCAGGATGTAGGAGTACCAATCTTCACGGTTCATCATGGGCACCTGTATGGTCTTCTTGGGGGTCACGTGGAAATCCATCTGGCGGGTGTTTGTGTCACTGAAGGCAGTCTGCCACTTGGCTAAAGATGAACAAGGGGTAGGAATAAAAGAGAACTGAGTAAAAATGAGAGACCTTTGGCTGTGTCTGAAGAGAGGAGACAATCCAAAGAGTGTCTCTACAGAGCAACCTCAGCAGCAGCAGCACCCATACCCCTTGGCCTCAGAGGCTAAATCCCCACATAACTCTGGGGTAGCCTGAACTTTTTATGTTTCCTGTCCTTCCAAACTCTTGCTGTGGTGGTTTGCATGAGAATAGATGGCACCCACAGGCTCATATGTTTGGATGCTAAGTCCCTGGTTGGTCAAATTGTTTTGGGAAGGATTAGGAGGTGTGACCTTGTCGTCACTTATTGGTATGACATTGAGAGAGGGCTTGGAAGTTCCAAAAGCTCCCACCAGAACTTCCCCTGAGTGTTTGTGGATCGGATGTTAGCTTTCAACTACTGCTTCAGCCCCATGCCTGTCTGCTTGCTACCATGCTTCCTACTGTGATGGTCATAGACTCTGAAACTGTAAGTCAGCCCCAGTAAAGTGATTTTTTAAAGTAATCTGTCCTGGCCATAGTGTCTTGGCATGGCTACAGACATTTGCTTTCAGTAGCCTTTGACCCCTTGTGTTTCCTGCCCTCTTAACCCTGATCAGGTCCATATCCTGTTTCTAGAGAGTTTGACAGTTAGGGTTGTTTTGTCTTGATGGCTATGACAAAGACCAGCTCCTGACTAGTAAATCAGTGGCAGGCTGATAAGGAGGCTCTGTCTAACATGGGGCTGCTAACATGGGTGGAAACCCAGTTGGCACTTGGGTGGGTTGTTCTTTTACCAGAGAGGGAATGCTATCTTGTGATGAAAACAGAAAAGAGAGAAAGTTTAAGTTGGAGCCCAAGGCTTACCTTTGAAGAAGATGTAATTTACCACCACCATGACATGGGTGCTGTCAAGATCCTTGATCAAGTCTACAATCTTGCCCTTGGTCTGCTTGGCTACGTAGTCATTGATCTGCTTCTTAGCGCTTTCAGGGTTCCTGAAGTTGGTAGAGAAAGTGTCTGACATGTACAGCGACTTCATAGCACTCAGGAAGTTGTCCCGGATATGTACTGCTGGGTCTTTAAAAAGGGCACTGCCCAGACTCAGCTGGAGGCCATCACTAGACTGGCTGAACTTCTGCAACAACTGTTGAAAGTCCTTGTGGAGCTTGTCCTCTTGGCTTTGCTGGAGGCTGAGGCCCAGGCCCTCCAGGATCTGTGTCTTAGTCTTCAAGCCAGCCCCCAGGGAGAGCATGCCCAAGCTCATAGACACACTCATGGGGGAGAAGAAAACATTCTGATCAAGGGCTTCAGAAGCCAAGGCCCTGTAGAGGCTGAAGGCAAAGTCCCTGCTTCTGGGAGTCCCCACGGCACCCACAGAGGACTCTTGAACCTTCTTCTTCTCCTTGGAACGGGAGCGTTGGCGGAAAGCCACCCCAAGGCTGAAGAACAGCACCAGGCACAGAATGGGGACGAGCCTCATCGTGGCAGCAGCTCTGGATGGGAGAATAGGAAAATGTTCTTGGAGAGGGAACAGCCGTGGGTCAAAGTGAGAGAGACAACGAATAGGCTAACATTTGCAAAGATATCCCCATTGACCCTCCAAGAGGATAAGAAGGAAGCTAGGCCATGGGGCCACAAAGAGAAGTGGTGGTACTCAGTGCTCTTGAAGATCAGGTGAGACAGGCAATGGCTCAAGATAGATTTGCAGAACAACATGCAATGGAGTTACAAAAAACAAACAAACAAACAAACAAACACAACCTCCAGTATTTTTTCTCATAATGTTTTAAGTAAGTTTAGGATTTTTTTGCATTATGTCTCATAGGGTTCCTTGGCTGCAGCTTGTCTAGGGTTGTACCCACCCACATCCTTAAGGCCACCAGTCCTACCCCAGCAGGTATACTCACTCTGTATGGTGGTAGCTGAGCGTCAAGGTGTAGTCCACCTGGTTTACGAGAGGACAGTGGGCAGAATGAATTGCAGCTGGCAAATGTCACTGATCACAGAGACTCTGTCTCCACCCCACTCCAATTCTACCCCATCGGGAGCTGGGCTTATCTAAGGCTTTCTCAGGGCCCCTGATAAAAGGACAAAGTAAACCTACTTCTGTTTCTTTGTCTAAGAATGTGCTTGGCAATGCCAGCCCGGGCCTGAGGCTGGAACCTTGGAAGAGTTAAGGTTTCTGTTCCTGGAACTCGGCTTTTTCCCCTGAAAAGACTGACATTATCAATCCCAAGGCCGCTGCGTGCTCAGTCTGTAATGTTCCTGAGATATCCTGTTTCCCTTGTGCAACATTGTTTGATTAGCTTCCCTCTAACTTTGTCCCATTGTTTGATAGTTTCTGCTGACTGTGTCTCATCTCTTCCCCGGACCCAGTATATAAGACACCGTACTTTTCAAAGGAGCTTGCTTGGTATACAACATTGCGTGCACAAGCAAGACTTCCTGATCCTAAACTGTGTCTTCTCTATCTTCCACTCTCTTTATCTTCTGATCTCCTGATCCTCTCTTTCAGGGCATTGGTACTAAAAAAATGACTGAATGGTCCAAGTCAAGAAACATCTGAACAAGGACACCTGAATATGAGAAAGAGAGTTAAGTATGGCCATAATACACAGAGAAATTTAAAAGTAAAAAGTATCCCCAGAGAGACCACCTGAAGGAAGGGATACAAATTTTAGGAGTAAAATGGGATAGTGAAGTCGTCTTTTTAACATAATGTTGTTATTGGTTATTTGGGAATTTGACATGATATATCCCATCACCCTTACTTCTCAGACCCCCCAGGCCAACTCCCCACATCTTGTTCTCCCCCCCAAAAAATAGAAAAACAAATCCAGTTTGTGTTATCTATATACTCAAACTCCTGGTGGCCAGTCCCTTAAAGATGAGTGACTCTGTCCCACTTCCATGCCCACCAGGAGCCATCTACTGTGGAGAGCTATACTTCAGCATCCTAACCCTCACAAAAAGTCTGCTTGTTTTTCCTAAATTTCTCCCTACTATAGCATAGGTGTAGAAGTTGGGGGGTGAGGGCCTGTGTGGGATGTGAGAAGAGGAAGAATGGTGTGTATGTGTGTGTATTTGTGTGTGTGTTTATGCATATGTGTGTGCTTGTGTGTGTGTGAGTCTGTGTGTGTGTGTGTGTTTGTATGTGTGTGTTGGGGATACAGTCAAAACTCACAGATTTCAGAACCTAGGTTCAGACAACAAAGAGCCCAGGCTCCTAAGGACAATGGTTCTTCATTGGCCTGCCTTTGCCTGAAGAGACAATTGCTCTGAAAACTCTTCCTAGCCAGTTCTACATAAAAAAAAAAATTAAAAAGATTTATCTACATGACTATTAAAAAGTCTCATGATATTAAAAAAATAGAAAATGATATAAAATAAAGTTATTTTACATTATTAAAAATGAAAATATTATAAAGATAAAAGATATGATATTAAAACATGAAAGATATGAAATTAAAAATATTTTAATGAAAACTTATGTAGCGGGATATTTTTCCCGCAAGTTGGGAGGAGCTAAGGTGGGAGGAGTAAGGAGAGGAAGAGGAGGAGTAAGGAGAGGAAGAGGAGAAGGAAGAGGAGGAGCTAGGGGAGAGAGCACCAGAGAGAGAGGGGAACATGGAAGCAGATGTGTGTCTGTCTCTAACAGTCAAAGGTAGTTGATATATCTAGTTTGTGTATTGGGTTACACCTCTGATTGTGTGGGCATCTTGTTATTGAGCATTACCAAATATATAAAGCCTTTGGATAATCTAAGCATTAGTGTCTCATTCCTACCAGGCCCACATGGATGGTGATTGGCAGAGCCATCTCCCACGCTGGCGTCTCGTGGGTGGCAGGGCTGGTGTCTTTGACTACCTGAGCAGGCGGCCCAAGCTGAGCAGGGTGGTACGCTGCAGCTGCTTCTGTCTGCAGTCCTAGGCTAGTCGGGAACATGGTGGCTGATTTAGAAAAGCCAGGTTGAATGGCACCATTTTAAATATCTCCTGCAACAAATTTATATAGTCAGAAATAAATTATTTTAATAAGTAATGATTTATATAAAGATTGAGGTGGATATATATATATATGAACTATATAAAATTAAAAGGGTTATAAGTTATAAAGTTCTGAATAAGTTATTTAAATATAAGAAGGATAAGACTTAAAGATAATATACACAATATTAAAGTTTGTAAGGCTTGAGATTAGCAATTTTTTTAAAAAAATTGGTTGTCAAATTAAGATTTATTTAAAATTATCTGGCTACCAAAATATTACATGATAGCTAAAAGTATGAGACCAGTGTGACTGACCTTCTGGGTGCCTCTCACGGGAGGCCCTGCACCGCTCTCTCTGACTACATTTGGCCATCACCTTATTTCTATTTGTCTGTTATCAGCAGGTCAATAAGAATGTCCCCCTCTTATCTGGAAAGTGACAGGATGTACAGTTTTAAAATATCATTGTTTCATCCATGGCTTGAATTTTCCAGCCTCTAACCACCCATTTGTTACCACACTGTGTGGGCATTTCCCAGTAAACAATGAAAATCCAGTGCCCTGGCTTCAGAATGGAATTTCCTCTTGGGTAGTATAATCCACTGTTTCCATAGAACTCTGTGCCTCTAGGTGGTTGACCCAAGAGTCTGCTCCACTTGTCCTGGAGATGCCTACCACATCTAGATAAAGATTCTGGATAAAGATAACTTCCTAGAGCCCTCTCACTGGCCATGATCTGTTACAATGTCTTCAGGAAAAGACTCAACTGCCCTGTTACTGTTAGCCACAGACCTGGGCAATAATATCATCTATGGGACGTTTGAAAAAGAGACAACTATAATATGGACACCCTTTTATGTCTGGGCTCATTGCTATGTTAACCTTCCCTACATGTTCCTTGATTTGGGGGTCCTTTTAGTTGAGAGAATGGGGATACTTCTAAATTGCCTGTATCAATTGTTCTCTCTCTCTCTCTCTCTCTCTCTCTCTCTCTCTCTCTCTCTCTCTCTCTCTCTCTCTCTCTTTCTCTGAAGATTCCCCTTCTGAGCCACCCAGATTTACTGTACAAAATCCAACCCCTTTGGCATCTTCCAACACTCCTCAGTATCAGGATTGGAACGCTTACGTTGATGATTCTTGTGGTTAGGCTAGGAGACATTTATCAGTTTCGAAAAAAATAAATCTCTTAGAACAAGTAACACATCTGATTTTTAAACAATAAGAAAGAGAGAGCTGTTGATAGCTGGACTGATCCAAGGCATTCTGGGGGCAGGGCGGGGAGAGAGAGAGAGAGAGAGAGAGAGAGAGAGAGAGAGAGA